TGCAAGTTGCTGAAGTTTGCAAATCCCACTGGAGCATTACCCACTGGGGAATTCTCCTCCTCCCAGCAATGAGCTGAGTTTTGCGATGAAAGCAAATGAAGAGAACTTTCCAAGCTGCGCAGTTAAGGAAATGCCAAAGTTAGGGTTACCTGTGCAACCTGACTTCAGTCCCCTTGTGTGTAGGCAGTCTGTTAGTCTTTAATTATAGCCTGGCATCGGTCCTGGGCATCCTAATGGAGCAGCTGATACAGAACTCAGTTAAGAAAGAATTAAAGGAGGGCAATAGAATTAATGCCAATGAACAGGGGTTTATGGGAAATAGAGCCAATCAAAGGTTTCAGAGTAGCAGCCGTGTTAGTCTGTTCTTCTTGAGAGCCAATCAAACTAACTCTGGATCTTCTTTTGAGGAGATTACAAGTTTGGTTGATAACATGTTACTATAATTTGCTTAGGCTCTTGTAAGGCATATGATTGTTACCACATGACATTTTGATTAGGAAACTAGTGATATACAAATTCGACATGGCACACATTAAATGAATTTAAAACAGGCTAACGGAAGGCTCTCAAAATGTAATTGTTAACATGGAATCATCACTGAGCCTCTGGGTTTCTAATGGGGCCCTCAGGGATCCATTCTTGGTCCTACACTATTTAACATTTTTATCAGTGACTTGGAAGAGAACATAAAATTACCACCGTTGAAGTTTGCAGATGACACAAAGATTGTGGGAGTGGTAAATACTGAAGAGGACAGGTCTCTGATACAAAGCGAGATGGGTCTCTTGGTGAGCTGGGTGCAAGCAAACAATACATGTTTTAATACAGCCAACGTAAAGTTGTACATCGAGGAAAGGAGAATGTAGGCCATACTTACGGAATGGGGGCTCTGTCCGGGGAAGCAGAGACTTTGAAAAGACTTGAGGGTCATGGTGGATGATCAGCTAAACATGAGTTCCCAATGAAACACAGTGGCCAAAAGTGCTAATGCGATCCTGGGATATATAAACAGGGAAATCTCAAGTAGGAGTAAGGAGGTTATGTTAACTCTGTATTTGGCACTAGTGTGACCCCTGCTGCAATACTGTGTCCAATTCTGGTTTCCATGATTCAAGAAGAATGTTGATGAATTGGGGGGGGGGGTTCAAAGAGCCACAAGAATGATTAAAGGATTCAAAAACATGCCTTATAGTGACAGACTCAAGCAGCTCCATCTATTTAGTTTAACAAAGAGAAGGTTGCGGTTGATCACAGTCTATAAATACCTTCATGCTGAGAAGAAATCTGATAATAAGGGCTCTTCATTCTAGCAGACAAAGGTGTAACGAGATCCAATGGCTGGAAGCTGGAGCTAGACAAATTCAGACTTGAAATAAGGTGTAAATATTCAGCAATGAGGGTAATTAACCAAGGGCTGTGGTGGATGCTCCATCACTAGCAAGTTTTAAATCAAGTTTGGATGTTTTTCTAAAAGATCTGCTCTAATTCAAACAGGAATTAATTCAGGGCAGGTCTCTGGCCTGTGCAAGGCAGGAGGTCAGACTAGATGATCACAGGGCTCCCTTCTGGCCTTATAATGTATGTATCTATGAATTATACAGCCTCAGGCTGTTCCTCCACATAAGGTCATACTGCAGGGGTGGCTTCAGAAGTTAATATGCGGCTCCTTGTATAGGCGCCGACTCCGGGACTGGAGCTACAGGCGCCAGCTTTCCAATGTGCTGGGGGGTGCTCACTGCTCAACCCCTGGCGCTTCCTGCCCCCTCCCCTGAGCCTGCCGTGCCCTCGCTCTTCCCCCTCCACCCCAGAGCCTCCTGCATGCTACGAAACAGCTGATCGGGTGGTGTGGGGAGGTTGGGGAAGGTGCTGATCGGCGGGGCAGCCGGTGGGCAGGAGGCGCTGGGAGCTGGGGGGGAGCTGACGGGGGACTACTGACGTATTACTGTGGCTCTTTGGCAATGTACATTGGTAAATTCTGGCTCCTTCTTAGGCTCAGGTTGGCCACCCCTGTCATACTGAGATGTTGTAACATCTTAGATACATACTTGTTGTGTGTTTTCCATTCTTATGCTCCACTGCTATTGACTTAGGGTAGATCCGGTGGAAGCATCCTCTGTGCTGCCCAAGTTCAAGGTCTGCAGCTGTGACTTGGGCAAGGTGGGGAAGTTTCCTGCGTGCCTTCCCTTATCTCTGATGCACCAGTCTGGTCCCATGTTAACACCTCAGCAGCTCTTGCTCAGAGGAATACTTGTCAGGGTTGTCTTAGCAGTGTGTTCTCAGGATTCCTCACCTCACAGTGCCTGGTGTGCAGACAGGAAGTGGCTTGGTGTCTCATGTTTTCTGTCGGAGGTTTGCTGGGAAGCTTGGGTTGTTCCATGTAGGCGTGAGAAGTGAATTGTCTAGCTAGGAATTAGTGAAGTGTAACAATGACACAACACTCTGGATAGGCCTCAGTAAAGTACCTTCCAGGGCTGACGTCGTTATGTGTGCATGCTCCAGGAGTCTTGCTTTGTTTGCTTCATGAAAATGAATAAAGCTTCAATTGGAATCAAAGGAAAACAAACAAACCCACGACCAAGGGGAAATGGCTGCTTCGGTTAATGCTGAAGGGCTGAGGACACCTAGCTGAGTGCCTCAGGGACTCTTGAAGATTCTTTGGGGATTCCCTTACCTCCAGAAATGCTCCACCGTGCCCCATCCCAGTCCCATCCTCTAGGTTCCATCAGGCAGCCTCACAAAAGCATCACCCATTGAATCTCATTGCCCTCCCCCGCCCCCATCCTTGTCGATTGCATCAACACAGCTAGTGCAGCCTCTCCTAGCAGAAAGATATGCAGGGAGCCAGGAGCGGCGCCGGCCCCGCAGGGAGTGAAGGAAGGGATCTAAGACTGACAGGCAACGTAAGGGAGGTCAGTGCAGCTCATAGGTACCCAATAACTGGGTAACAGACCACAGCAGTGAAATCAGGGACCCAGCAAACATTTATACAGAGAAACAAGCCTCAGGGCCCAAGTCTGATCTCCCCAGCAAGGGTGTGAGTCAACAGGAATTCCAGTGCCGTCACATGGATGCGAGTGAGAGCAGCACTGACCCGTGTCCAGCGCTGTTGAGCGACATACATAAGGACCCTCTGTGCTGAAGAGAGCGGGGAGGGAGTTTTTCAGTGAGACGTTGTTTTGTCAGACAGTGCTGGTTAATTGAAACCAAAACTTTTCCCGGGAATGTATCGGTTTCAACAAAACTTTTGTTGGGAAGGTTTCTTGGGTCGAAGAGACGGAATTTCTGGTCAAAACCAGAAAGAGGGAGTTACTGCCATCCCAGAATAGCCAATAGCCCAGGGGTCAGGATACTCATCTGGGATGAGGGAAACCCAGGTTTAAGTCCCTTCTCTGCTTGAATCAGAGCAGGGACTTGAGTCTGTGGCCTGGTCTACACTACGACTTTAATTCGGATTTAGCTGCGTTAATCCGAATTAATCCTTAACCCGTCCACACAACGGAGCCAGTTACTTCGAATTAAAGGGCACTTAAAATCGATTTCTGTACTCCACCCTGACGAGCGGAGTAGCACCAAAATCGATTTTGTTAATTCGAATTAGGGGTAGTGTGGCCGCACACCACCGAATTAATGTGGTTAAAATTAATGGGGTAGTGTGGCCGCACACCACCGAATTAATGTGGTTAAAAACCGAATTAATGTGCTTAGTGTGGCCGCGCACAATCGAATTTATACAATCTGTTTCCCAAATTCGAATTATCTAAATTCGAATTAATCTCGTAGTGTAGACGTACCCTGTGTCTCATCCCCCATGAGTGACCTAATTACCTGGTTCTTCTTGCGTGGTTTGTCTCTCTCTCGTGGTTTTCACTAAAAGTTTTGAAAGGTCTCGTTTTCGTTCTGATGCAGAACAAATGTCAAAACCTCACAATTGTTTGTGAAACGGAATTCTTGTTTTCTGGCCAGCTCTAGTGCAGAACATACAGTACCTCTGTTGTATAGCATAGTAAATATATCTAGTGGGGAAAGAATGAGAGCTCATCTCAGTAACATAAGGCTGTTAAATCTATCTTAGGTATTTATATGGCCCCCATTGAAGTATCGGAGTGCCTCACTGTCATTAATGTATTTACTTATCCCATAACCCCTGTGAGGCAGGCAGTGCTATCTCCCCCATTTTACAGAGGGCAATGTGAGGCACAGAGAGACTCGGTGAATTGCCAAGATAGCCCAAAGTTTATGGTGTAGCAGGGAATTCAACCCAGGACTCACATGTCCCAAACAAGTGCCCAGATCACTGGCTGATCTAGTCTCGCTACACTACAATAGTGTTCTAACTAAAAAACAACAACCCAAGTATCAGAAAGCCAGGAAACAGAGTTAAGATTCAATGTACATATAAATCAATATTTGAGAGGCTGGAAATACACAGTTGCTGAGGCAGCTTCAAGAGAACCATCAAGTGCCAGCTGATACGGCCATTTTGTGCACAGACAACTTTACACCAGGTGCAAGTGGGAGGCCACAACTCATTTCACACCATCCATTGAACAGCCTTTGGACAGCAGAATCTTCCAGCCCCCGTCTGGACCTGAAACCAGAGGATGGAAATGAAAAGTTCCATATACCACAACTCGGCACCCTGAGCAGCCAGCCCTCATGCTGTTTATCCTAAGTAATGGGCAGTGTGATGCACGTGCCGTTTGGCTGTGCTCCTCCACATGAGTGTAGGTACAGCTGTGTCCTATGGTAGTTACTTTATTGAAAGAGAGGTTAAAAGTTAATTGAGGGTTTATTAAAATAATGTGTGTTGATTCTCTTTAATGGGATTTATCTGTTGAGGCCGGTTTTGCCCTGTGGTTGAGGGAACATAAACTGGCAGTGATATGCCATATCAAAGGCCCTTAAAATGCTCTAACATGACAATGGAACTTTGTTGGCTACTCCAGATGCAGCGAATGGAGAATAAAATTGATTCTAAATGTTTGTTTTCTAAATGACAGACCTAATGTTTGCGGCTCAAGGTTCCACTCTTACTGCTGCCCTGGATGGAAAACGCTGCCAGGAGGAAATCAGTGCATTGTTCGTGAGTATTGACTTCCCTTTTAATGACATCACAGGGCATCTCCCAGGGAACTAGCTACCTTGCAGTGATGAAATACACAGTCCACCCTCGCAGCAGGTGAAATGAATATTCCTAATCTGCTTTAGCAGGAGTACTGAATGATGGAGTGTGTAGTCTCTGCAGGATGATTATAGATGAGTGGTTATAATCTGCACCATTTAATAGAAATAAGGCATGGCTCTTAGACTCCTGCAGAATTGTCACTGTGGCCTTTAAATCGGACAGTTTGGATTCCTGCTGTAGCACATTTGTCCCCAAAGGTGTCTCCCAAGCAAGAAAAGTTAATTTAAAACTGCTTCCTTGGAGGAAGACATTTTTATAAGAGACATTAACTAGGTGCCTAGATCTAAAGACACATTGTCACTACAAATTGTCTGTTATCAGGGATTTACATCTTCCTTTGAATCATCTGGTACTAGTCACTGTCAGAGACAGGACACTGGACTAGGTAGATCAGCTGATCTGGTATAGGAAACTCTATCTTCCTATTTAGACTTTCAAGAAGCCCTTGGCAAAGACCCTCACTAGAAGCTAGTAAGGAAACTAATCAGCAGAGCTGGTTGAAAACACTTTTTTTCTAGCAAAAATTTTAGAACAAGAAGTTTTCTTTCAAAATTTTTGAATTTTGAAAAGCTACAGATTGACATACTTACAGTATTTCATTTTTCCTTCACCACTCTGCCATTTTGAATTATTTTTGGTTTTACAACACCAAAATGAAATAAAAATTTCAATTTGAAATTAAATAAAATGACCATTTTCATTTCATTTATTTCATTATTTCCCACTGAGAAATGTCATCAGAAATAACTTTTTATCAACAGAATCCCAGTTTCGATCAGCTCCATTAATTAGTCCTTGGACAAAAGACAAAGTTCTATCCTAGATCAAAAACCAGCTAAAAGACAGAAAACAAAGAGTAGGAATTAATGGTCAATTTTCTTCATGGCAAAAATATAACAGTGGGGTGCCAAAAGGGTCTGTACTAGGACTGGTATTGGCTAAGGATATGGGGTGAACGGTAAGGTGGCAAAATGGGCTGATAACATACACTTTTTAGGCTAGTGACAGCTGGGTGAAGACAGGAATTCCACAATGTTCCAGGTGCTGTACGTAGCTGGTGATTCGGTAGGGGGCAGTCTTCCCCCAGAGTGAACACTGAATTGATATTGACTGAGGAAGCAGAGTAACTCTTCTGGAATAGAATGTCCCCATGGGGGAGTTAGACTGGCAGAGCCATACCAGAATAACTGTGCTGGTGGTCAGTCTGGTCCCCTTCTGTGTATGTGTTATGATACAGCCTACAATTTACATGATCACACACTATTTCCCACCCCGGCTCTGGGGATGAATCAGGGTTGGGTAGCGAAGGAGGCTGTTGTTTGTAGGGCTCTGCCTCATTTGTTGCAGAAGTTGGAAGGTGTGCGGTAAAAGAGGCAGGGGATGCAGGAAGAGAAAGGATGGTCTCACGGTTAAGGCAGTCGAATGCTGCCCTGGAGAACTGGATTCTGTCCCTGCCTCTGTCACAGAGTCCCTGCATGGTGCTGGGCAAGTCACTTCAACCAACATTTGTTCCTCATTGTGTGTTCCTCATTTTGCGGGTGTCTGACTTGGAACCATGGGATCTGACTTGCAGAAGTGCTGAGTGCTGCAATTGAAGTCAATGGGAACTGGGCTTCGGACATATAAAATGCTAGATAATGCTAAGTACTCTGAAAAATCAGGTCCAAATTGGTCTCCCAAAATTAGTGGATACTTGTGACCTTAATCTCTCTGTGCCTCAGTTCCCCATGTGTGAAATGGGGATAATCCCACCCCCTTCACCTTGCAGGGGTGCTGTGAAAATAAATCCCTTACCCTAGTGATAAGAACCCTAGAAAAGCCCATAGGAAATTAATAATTCTCTATTCATATCAGGGTTTGTATATAGTCTGCAGCAAATAAGGCCTGGGGCTACATATTGACCAACGAGAATAAAACAAAATATTGACTAGCTGCTCAGTTAGTGAGCACCGTCCATCCTGTGCATTGAATGAGGCAGCAGTCCTGCAGAAAACATAGTTGTGGTCATATAATTAAAGACTGTACCATAATGCCTACACAGAGGCTTGCACAGACAACCTTACATCTGGTATTTCCTAATTTTTAAGTGCTTGACTTTGCAATCTTAATAATATTCTTTTAAAGTAGGTTTTGCGTGTAGTTAATATGAATACTACTCACCAAAGACAAAGAGAAAACAAAGAGCCAAGATCACTCAAGAGTTAAAAATGAAGGAATGAGACTTCTCACCCAAGCATGGTTTGGTGAAAGTGGGATTAAAACAAACAAGAAAACCCACAATTCTCCTCACCACAGGAAATCCTGCTGATTAATTTAGCTGTCCTATGCTTCTGAAAAAATTCTGCTGATGATACCAGGAGCAGATTTAATGCTGCTTATATCACAGGGGTTAGGGAACTCCCAGCCAAATAGTGGCTTAATGGCATGTGAGGTTAGTGACACTCAGCACTGCCAGCCGACGCCCTGCAGAGCTGTAACACATGCCATCTGGGTTCTTGATCCTTGGGAACTCTACATTGTCATTGTTTTTTATAAAACACACAGAGATGAGAGCTTCTCGCTGGGCTCTAATCAATCTCTGCTTACACAGGTGAAACAATACTGCCAGAATGCTATTTGGCTTTCCTGGTCTGAGGTGGGGGCAGAGCAGCACTCCACAAAGGAGAGAGGGAAGGGGGTCGGGCATGGAAAACAATGGATAGAGCTCCAGTTGACCCTAGCTAGGTCCCTGATATAGTTTCATCATATGTTGGTAACACTCTTGACATTCCACTTGTATCTCTGGAGGATGTTAAATGGAAGCCAATGATGTTAGACATTTTAAAATCAGCAGATCCAGGTAACTTCCTTCCAAGAGTTTTAAAAGAGCTGGCTGAGGAGCTCACTGGACTATTCATGCTGATTTTCAATCTGTCTTTGAGCACTGGGGAAGTTCCAGAAGGCTGGAAAAAAAGCTAATGTTGTGCTAATTTTTAGAAAGAATAAACAGAATGACCTAGGTAATAATAGGCCTGCCTTGATCTGGGCAAGATGATGGAGCAGCTGATTTGGGACTCAATTAATAAAAAATTAAAGGAGGGTAATGTAATTAATGCCAATCAACATGGGTTCATGGAAAATAGATTCTGTCAGATTAACTTGACACCTTTTTTGATGAGATTATAAATTTGGTTGATATTAGTGTTGGTGTAATATATTTGGGCTCCTCTACGACTTGGTACTGCACAACGGTTTGCTTAAAAAGCAAGAATGATATAAAATTGACATAGCACACTTTAAATGGATTATAAATTGGCTAACTGAGGTCTCAAAACATAACTGTAAATGGGGAATTGTCACTGAGCAGGTGTATTTCCAGTGGGGTTCGGCAAGGTTCTTGGCCCTCCTCTAGTTAACATTTCTAACAGTGCCCTGCAAGCAAACATGAAATCCTCACAGTTAAAGTTTCAGATGACACTAAATTGGGGGGTGGGGGGTAAATACTGAAGAGGACAGGTCTCTGATACAGAGCGATGTGGATCACTTGATAGTTTGGGAAGAAGGAAACAATATATATTTTAATACAGCTCAATGTAGATGTATCCCTCTAGGGACAAAGAATGGAGCCCATGCATACAGGAGGGTGGACTCTATCCGGGGAAGCCGTGACTCTGAAAAAGATTTGGGGATTGTGATGGAAAATCAGCTGAACATGAGCTCCCAGTGCAACACTGTGGCCAAGAAAACTAATGCCTGAGATGCATAAACAGGGGAATCTCCAGTCGGAGAAGAGAGGTTCATTTACTTCTGTGTTTGGCACTGGTGTCCATAATTCAAGAAGGATGCTGATAAATTGGAGAGGGTTCAGAGGAGAGACCCGAGAATGGCTAAAGGATTAGAAAACCCGCCTTCTGGTGATAGACTCAAACAACTCAATCTATTATCTTAACAAAGGGAAGATTTCAGGGGTGATGATTACAGTCTATAAGTATCTACAGGGGGAACAACTATTGAATAATGGGCTCTGCAGTGTAGCAGGGAAAAGTCTAACATGAGCCGAAGGCTGGAAGTTGAAGTTAGGAAAATTCAGGTGTAAAGTTTTAACAGGGAGGGTAATTAACCACTGGAACAATTTACCAAGGGTCACGGTGGATTCTCCATCACTGACAATTTGTAAATCATGACTGGATGTGTTTCTAAATGATCTGCTCTAGAAGTTATTCTGGGGCAGTTCTCTGTCCTGTGTGATACAAGAGTTCAAAGCAGATGATCACGATGATCCCTCCTGGCCTTGGAATTTATGATTCTGTGACTCTATGATCTAACCCACGGTCCCACAGATGAAGGAGGTCTCAGTTACACATACATGCTCCTCCACCCCCCAGGGTTCTGAAATTTTCACAGGAAAGACAGAAAACTTGACAACACTTTTAAACTTGGCCCAAGGCAAATTGTCACCACAATAGCCTTTGACAAACACCTGAAACCAGCAGAACTGGTGCTATGTGCGTCTTCAGTCCCAACCATCACTGGAAGGGGGGAACTATGCGAGGACAAGACTTGGGAGGGTTAGGTCCAAAGGAAACATCGTGTCCCCTCACCCCTCGGTCTGAGTGTGTCCCCAGGAAGGTTGTCAGCCCTAGGGGGCTAGTGCAACCTTTCCAGCTGCTGTTCTGCTCAGGCTGGTGTTCCCATGTGCTGTTCAGCAATTTCCAGCAGCCATGGAAGCTTTAATCTTCTTTAGAGGAATATTAATCCTCACTGTGAGCAGGTTCACGCTAGGGTTGCCAGGCATCTGGTTTTCGACTGGAACGTCTGATTGAAATAGGACCCTGGCTGCTCCAGTCGGCACTGCTGACCGGGCTGTTAAAAGTCCAGTTGGCAGCGCAGTGGGGCTCGGGGCTAAGGCAGGCTCCCTACCTGCCCTGGCTCTGTGCAGTTCCCAAAAGTGGCCGCCAGGTCCTTGAGGCCCCTAGGTGCAGGGCGACCAGGGAGGCTCTGCACCCTGCCTCCACCCTGAGGGCTGGCTCCGCAGCTCCCATTGGCCGGAAACCATGATCAGTGGAAGCTGTGGGGGCGGCGCCTGTGGGCACAAGGGCAGCATGCGGAGCCTCCCTGGCTGCCCATGAACCATGGGGGTGCAAGGACCTGGTGGCCGCTTCCTGGGAGCCACGGTAAGTGTCACTGGGACCCCGCACCCCGAACCCCTTCCCTCACCCCAACCCCCTACCCCAGCCCGGTGTCCCCTCCTGCTCCCAAACTCCCTCCTGGAGCATGCACCCCGTACCCCCCCAATACCCCAACCTCCTGCCTCAGTCCCTAGCCCCCTCCCACACTCCAAGCCCCTAATTCCCAGCTCCACCTGTGAGCTTGCACCCCGAGCCAGCGCTCTCACCCCCCTCCTGCACCCCAACCCCCTGCCCCATCCGGGTGAAAGTGAGTGAGGGTGGGGGAGAGCGAGCAGCGGAGGGAGGGGGGATGGAGCAAGGGGGGTTCGGGCCCCAGAGAAGGGGCATGGCAGGGGCAGGGCCTTGGGGAAGGGGCGGGACAGGGGCGGGTCAGGGGTGTTCGGTTTTGTGTGATTAGAACGTTGGCAACCCTAGTTCATGCCGTAGCACCAATAGCCCAGATACCCCAGGCCAGGCCTTTGCTAGAAGCTAAGGGCATTGGCTGTGTTTCTAGGAATTTGGGAGGCAGGTCTCTGGCCTGTGTATTTCAGGAGGTCAGACTAGATGCTCACAGAAGGCCTTGGAAACTCTGACAGCAGGCCATAGTGCATGGCACAACAGGGCAACACTGTTCAGTTTCTGCTTGTCTCTCTCCAGCAATTTGCCGGAACTCTTGTGGCGATGGGTTTTGTTCACGGCCGAATATGTGCACGTGCTCCAATGGGCAGCTGTCCCCCAACTGCGGCTCTGGTGGAGGTAAGAGAATATCAGATGATTGCCAGTCCCACCCTGATGCTGACTGTCTGTGTCCAAGCACCGAACCAGACCGGGGACAGCTCCGTAAGCTGTCCTGAAAGAGTTTGTGTTCCTGGGAGCCAGCACTACAGGGTCTGGGTAGAGCTGTGCAAAACTTGTTGAATGAAATTTTTTCCCAGTGAAAAATGCCGATTCGGCATCACCAGACCATTTTGTGAAATTTGTGAGATTTTACCCTATTGTTTTGATAAAAAAGAAACCTAAAAAAAATTTCCCAAAAATCAAAACATTTCATTTTTTTAAACAAAATTTTTCTATTTGAAATGACTTTTTGTTTCAAAATGTCCTTAAATTTAACATTTTTAAAATAAAAAACTTTTTAAAATGCTCACCTCTAAATGAAACGTTTCTCTTTGAGTTGAACAAATTGTTTTGTTTGACTCACAATGAATTTTTTAAAACTTTAGATTCATCAAAAATTTCTAAAAACTTTGGTTTCAGTTCAACCTGAGACTATTTCTTCCTCCCTATTTTTTGGAATTTCCAGTGAACCGAAAAAACCATTATTTGCCCTGCTCTAGTTCTAAACGTAGCAAGAATTGCAAAGGCCATAAACCCCAGCCGTGCTCTCACTGAAGGGCTCCTCGCTGTCCCTCTGTGCTGAAAGAAAATTAATTACTTTGTAATTTCTGCTACAGTCCAGTGAGCCACCTTGGCATAGTGAATTCCAGCAGGGCATCTCTCAGAGCCAGTTCTCACTGTGACAAAGCATTCATGACATGGTTTGCCAAAAAGTCCATCTACTGCTGACTGTTCTTGGTGATTAAACTCTTTGTTAGCCATGTTTATGTAGGAAATAAAAGTGCTGCGCTAAAAGGATTGGCTTAGGCCATGATTTGGGTGTCAGAAAGAAATGTCTGGCTGTTTCGGGTAGGCTCAGATGACATCTGAAGGTCATACACTGGGGAGTCAGGAATCACAAAAATGCATCTCCCTCCCCCTGCCTCGCTCTCTGACCCCTGTGTCCAATGTGAGTGAACCCCCGGGAGCCCCAAATCATCCACACAGTGAACTAACTGCACACTCAAGGCACTTAAACAAGAACACTGAGAATTATTAAAAATAGAAAAGGCAAAAAGGTATTGGCTTAGCCCTGTGGGCCCCTAGGAACCTGCATGAGGAGAGGAGCCGTGGAAAAGAAGGGGATCATGAAGCCTTCTTTTTAATGCCACAGCTATTTCTTAATGCACCCAGATTGCTCTCTGATTCCATGTGCAGTCCACCCGACAATGAGCCAGGAGCCAGAGAAACACTAAACTGGTCAGGGGCCCAGCAGACCTGTACAAAGGACTAAACTGTGGAGAACTGGGCAGCTCTGGCATCTGAAACAAACAGCACCAGTCAGATAGCCAGAAAGCAGGGAGCTGTCAGGGGTCAGTATATTACCATGTGCTCATGATCATCTCTGCCAGATGTATTCAGGGCTTCTGGAAATGACTGACACTACAGCCATTCACCTACTAGTGACCCTCCGCACAGCACACTCTTCCCTTCTCACAGTCTGAACAAGGGGGGTGAGGACCCATTGTGTGGGAAACACCACTCCTCCAGGCCCCTGGGGCCAGCTTTGGGTTGCATTGCCAGGACCTTGGCATCTGCTGCAGGATGCAGGCCAGCACATACTGGTCTGGCTTGGCTGCTTTGTCATGTTGATCATTTGCGGTTGCTGGCTGGTTGTGGAAAATGAGCTCCCAGTGGGTTACCTCTATCCACTCTGCAGCTCATCTCATGACATGCGCACACATGAAAGGGAAGGGAATTGGGTGCAACAGGAACCTGCACGAAAGCTGGTGGTTCTTTCTCCTGAGATGGCAGGGGCAGGATTGCTTTGCCATCTCCTCAGTGGAATTAGATACATTTGCCAAAACTTCCACAAATATGAGCATAGCCTCTGCAAAGTTGGCTTCTCTGTCCAGTGCCGCACGTGTGTCATGTTACTCTTTATCCCAGCTTGCCTGGAAATGCCAGTTCTGCTCTCAGTTCCTCCTGTGGAACTGCCCTTGCTGTTATATGGGAGTAACTGTGGGTCAAAACTGCCTCATAGTGTAGAAATGCACCCTCACCCTCTTCTCCCCTTTGTCAGGCAGCCACAGCAAGAAAGGCTCCAGCTGGTTCAGATGGCATGTCTGCAGCCAGCTCTCTTTCAGCCTCTGGGTGTTCGTCTTTTTCTTTGCCTTTTGGTTTTTGAGCCTTTAGGAACCATGTTTTCCAGCTTTTCTCTGCAACCATGAGAGACAACAAACGTAGTTTAAAAATAGCCGAGAGTTTCACAAATGACCTGACTCCAGGAACTGGGGCTTTAAGAAAACCCCAAATACAATGTGACTTGCAATAACATCATGAGAGTCAGCAATGGTTGCTCTATGGCTCCCAGACAGACTCTCCAATATTTAAAGCAAAGTCACATTCAGGAATGAATATTGCAGAACTCAAGCTGTGTGTGCCCCAGTACTTTCACAAGTGCTGCACTGGCTGCTTAAGAGCATTGCACCTAATGCTGCTTTCCATGTCTAGATGTCTGTTACTCTTGGGTCCCAAAGCCCTTTCCAAACACGCATCCATTCGGCCTCACCACACTCCCAGATGGTGGCTACATTATTAGACCCACCTGACATGCTGGGCGAGAGAGACTCGCTCCAAGTCATACAGTGACTCAGTGGCAGAGCTGGGACTAGAACCCAGGAATCTTGGCTCCCCAGTCCTCTGCTCAAACCACTAGACATCACTGCTTCTGTAATCACTGCTGGTAGCCACTCGCTTGGTTTCCCCCAACTTTTCAAAGTAATGAAAAACCAGCAATTCCTGCCAACACAAATATTTGAATGCATTTGATTTTGCAAGTGGTCCAGGCGCCTCGAGGCATGCACTGAACGTTCAGCCAATTTCACTGCAGCTACTCTAACGTTATGTCTACCCTGCAATCAGAGGGGCACATGTAGTCATAACCACACTAGCTTTGATCTAGCTAATTCAGATAACAACAGCAGTGAAGTCCCAGCAGCACTGGCTAGCCACCAGCGTCCTGGGCAAAGTTATACAGCACTTGCTGCCATGGCTTGACTGCGGTTGTTAGTGGAGCTAGCTAAATCAAAGCTAGCTTGGTACATCACCTCCTGCACTGTAGACATACCCCATACCATTTCACTGGCTCCACTTCTCACTGGGTCCAGTCTGGCTCCTGCTGAAGTCAATGGGAGTTTTGCCACGGTTCAGTCCCCTAGAGCTAGCACTCCCCCGAATCCCCATAGATATGCTCATTTCTCCTCTTTCTCTGTTTGCAGAGAACACCCCGACACAAAGCTGTGCTGGGCTAAGGCATTAGCCAGCCTCGCTTTGACATCAGGAGACAGTCGAGAAGCACTGGGCTGTTCTCCCTTCAGGCTGTCTGTCTGAAGGAACCTTCCTAGGTGCTGCAAAAGCCTGACCAGAGAGAAATCGCCACCTAAGGGAATTCAGTTACAGGCAGGGCAGTAAGTCTCACTGAAGGCTGGTTCCCATTGACAGGAAGAAATTATTGAGATCCTGAAAGTCCTTTTGAGGTCCTCAGCTGAACATTGCTATAGACTGGCAGGGGATTTGTTGCTACATTTACTTTTCTGTGGAAAACCCATTGTGAACTGGCCACTGATCCAATCACAGGGAAATAGTCCCCACAATTCAAACCCCATGCGGGGTGTTCCTTTAACTCAGGGAAGGAATTGCAAGGCTAAGCCTGGAATGCTGACTTTATAGTGCCACGTTGTGCCACGGTCCTGCTGAATCCCAAAAAACTGCAGCACATACAGGAATGTGTGCTCCCCTGCACCCCAGCCCATCACAATGCTTCCCGGGGAGGATGGTGGCCATATGTTCGCAATCTCGCAGGAATGCAGGGAATGCGTATACAGTATACATGTCTGGGCACGTGCCTAGCATTCCACTGGGCCAGCAGGGGAGGATTTCACAATGCACTCTGGCGGGTAAGCTCCCCAGGAGTGTGCCTGGGCTCTGGCATTTGTACTGGAGGGGTGTTTGGGTTTGCACTGGTCACTAATGCTTCAGGGAGGGAAAGCAGGCCAGCCGCATGCCAAAGGCAGGCAATAAAAGCCACTCGGCTTCTTTCTGTCATGACCCAGGGTCACTTTTGTTGCATGTGGAAGAGTAAGTTGCAAGTGACACTTGGACAGTGATAATCAAAGGGGACTTTGTCTGCAAAACACACTACTGATTACTGGCAGAGCTCTCCTTACAAATATGTTGTCAATCTAATCTAACCATAGTAACAGTTACCTAGGGTTATCCCTTCACCTTTCTGTGCCTAGATGCTGTGGTGACTGGTGCCCTATAAATACCTGACATAGGTAATAGACAGATAAAATCCTGATGACTACAAATTCCTCTGCTCATGTTGGCTTCACACTGAGTCTGCCTAGGCTTCAATACACGTACAGCAAATTCAGCTCTGCTCGAACTCCATGCTCCTTTGTGTGGTTACACCAGGGAAGAGTGTGATCCAGGAAAGTAACAGCCAGGAACCTTTTCGGAAATATTGGCCTTTGTCCCATAAGAAGATCTAGCCCAGTATCCTGTCTTCTAACAGTGGCCAATCCCAGGTGCTTCAGAAGTAGGGTGACCATATGTCCCATTTTGTCCGGGACAATCCCTTTTTTAAGCCCTGTCCCAGCCATCCCGACTTTTTTTTTCAAAAGGAGGCATTCCAGCATGGGGGGAGGCAGGGTTCCAGGATGGTTGACAGCCCGAGCAGCTGGGGGTGTCCCATTTTCTCTTTGGGAAATATGGTCACCTTACCCAGAGGGGATGAACGGAACAGAACCCCCATTACCCATTCCCAGCTTCTGGCAAACAGAGGCTAGGGACACCATCCCTGCCCATCCTGGCTAATAGCCAGGGAGAGCAGTGTGGGCAGGTAGGGGAATCGGGTGAACCAACCTGATTGCCTTCTATGATGAGATAACTGGCTCTGTGGATGAGGGGAAAGCAGTGGATGTGTTATTCCTTGACTTTAGCAAAGCTTTTGATACGGTCTCCCACAGTATTCTTGCCAGCAAGTTAAAGAAGTATGGGCTGGATGAATGGACTGTAAGGTGGATAGAAAGCTGGCTAGATCGTCGGGCTCAACGGGTAGTGATCAATGGCTCCATGTCTAGTTGGCAGCCGGTATCAAGCGGAGTGCCCCAGGGGTCGGTCCTGGGGCTGGTTTTCTTCAACATCTTTATCAATGATCTGGATGATGGGATTAATTGCACCCTCCGCAAGTTCGCAGATGACACTAAGCTGTGGGGGAGAGGTAGATACGCTCAGAGGTGAAAGTAAGCCAGTGCGGGCCGGTACGGAGGACCGGTAAGAAAAATGGAGCACTCTCCCCCTCTCTGACTCCTCTTCCTGGCTCCAGCAATACTGAGGGTCTGGGGGCCCGGCTCCTCGAATGTTTGGGGCCGGGTCTCCCCCCTGGCCCCACCTGCTGCCCCCCCCGCGCCTCCCCTGAGTGTGCCCCGGCCCCCCTTTGCTGCCCCCATGCACCTCCCTGGATCCGGCTATGTCTCTTCCCTGAAGCTCCATGCTGCCTGCCTGCATTAACTGCCGCCGCAGGGTCCTAGTGCCCCCCTCCACTACTGCCAGGGCAGGCTGCCCTTCCCCCTCAGACCCTTTCATTTTCCGGTGGGACCCTCCCCCGCCCGCAGTCACTGCTCTTGCCCCATGCTGACTGCTGCTACCCCAGGGCTCCGGGGACAATTTAAAGGGCCTGGGACGGTAGAGGCAGTGGGAGCCCCGGGCCCTTTAAATAGCCCCCGGAGCCTGCTGGAGCCCTGGGGTAGCAGCGGCAGGGCTCTGGTGGCTATTGAAAGGGTTCGGGGCTCCCGCTGCCCTTTCAATAGCCACTGGAGCCCTGCCGCTGCTACCCCATGGCTCCAGCAGCAGGGCTCCGGAGACGATTTAAAGGGCCCTGGAGGGTAGCGGCAGCCGGAGCCCCGGGCCCTGTTGCTGGAGCCCCGGGGCTCCGTCGGCAATTTAAAGGGCCTGGGGCTCCGCTGCGGTAAGCAGCTAGAGCCCCGGGCCCTTTAAATCGCCCCCTTTAAATCACCCCTGAACCCCAGGGCTCCCAGCCACCTCTGCAGCTGGGAGCTCAGGGGGTGATTTAAAGGGCTTGGGGCTCCCAGCTGCTGCTACCACAGCCCTAGCCCCGGGTCCTTTAAATCCTGATTTAAAGGGCCTGGGGATTTAAAGGCCCCGCCTCCTCCGGTGGAGGCCACGCCTCTTCCGGTGGAGGCCACGTCCCTCCTCAGGACTCTGGAGTACCAGTAAGTCCTTTAAGTTACTTTCACCCCTGGATACGCTGGAGGGTAGGGATAGGGTCCAGAGTGACCTAGACAAATTGGAGGATTGGGCCAAAAGAAATCTGATGAGTCCTGCACTTAGAAAGGAAGAATCCGATGCACCGCTACAGGCTGGGGACTGACTGGCTAAACAGCAGTTCTGCAGAAAAGGACCTGGGGATTACAGTGGACGAGAAGCTGGCTATGAGTCAGCAGTGTGCCCTCGTTGCCAAGAAGGCCAATGGCAACGGAGAATTGCCAGCAGACTGAGGGAAGTGATTATTCCCCTCTATTCGGCACTGGTGAGGCTATATCTGGAGTATTGTGTCCAGTTTTGGTCACCCCACTACAGAAAGGATGTGGACAAATTGGAGAAAGTCCAGCAGAGGGCAACAAAAATGATTAGGGAGCTGGAACACATGACTTATGAGGAGAGGCTGAGGGAACTGGGGTTATTTAGTCTGCAGAAGAGAAGAATGAGGGGGGATTTGATAGCAGCCTTCAACTACCTGAAGGGGGGTTCCAAAGAGGATGAAGCTCGGCAGTTCTGAGTGGTGGCTGATGACAGAACAAGGAGCAATGGTCTCAAGTTGCAGTGGGGGAGGTTTAGGTTGGATATTAGGAAAAACTATTTCCCTAGGAGGGTGGTGAAGCACTGGAATGGGTTACCTAGGGAGGTGGTGGAATCTCCATCCTTAGAGGTTTTTAAGGCCCGGCTTGACAAAGCCCTGGCTGGGATGATTTAGTTGGTGTTGGTTCTGCTTTGAGCAAGGGGTTGGACTAGATGACCTCCTGAGGTCTCTTCCAATCCTAATCTTCTAATGGGGTGGGCACCACATAAACAGTGGTGCTAGGAGGCACTGTGCCTGCCCAGGGTAGCCACAGCATGTGCAATGCATCTGGCTGTTCAGGCTCACTCACAGCTCCTACTACGCGTTGCGCAGACATGTAGCATGTGCTGCCCCCAGTCTGTTTGGAGCTGTTGTCTCATGTGCAGTGAGGAGGCAAAGCCATGGCAACCACTCTCAGAGATGTTTCTGGGAAGTTCAGCCCAATTACAACTCCCTTCTGTATGGACAACAGGGCTTTGTATGGACCCATGTTAAAAGTAGGTGTTCTCCTTTTAAGATGTGATTTATCTTTTGGATTGCTTAGGAAAAAAGAGAACAGTTGTTAACATACGTCTCCTTGAATGTGTGCAGAGAGAGAGAGGAATTGGTCAGGAATGTACCAGGTGGTGGAACTAAGAGGCATGGAATTAAACTCAAAGCAGAAACAGCTGGGATAAATCTCAGGCAATATTTCCAAACAATGACTCCTATGAGGCTGTGGAAGGACAGGGCAAATCTGAGGAAAATCTACTGGGCCAGATCTTCCAGGTGGATTACGTTGACATCTTGGGAATGATGCCTACTTCCTCCAGCTGAAGCTCAGGCCCTTTGTGGGGAACAGTCCTGCACTGCCCCCGTGAGATGGCCTAGACAAAAGAGGCGTCTCACTCTGGGGAAGGATTGGCCATAACTTTTTTGCTTCTGGCTTTTCCCAACTCATCAGTTCATTACGGGCATGTACGATAAAAACAGCACCCTGAGTGTATGGAACAAAGGCAGACAATGGGATTTACTGGTGTAAGAAACACAGAGCTAGTCTGTCTATAGAATATCCTCAGTAGCTATCCAAGGCATTAATGGTTCTAACCCCGTAGGCTCACATCCAATGGGAAGTCAATGGGAGTCTTTCCATTGAATTTAATGGGAGCTGGGCATGTGTCTTTGATTCTACCGTGAGCTGCTATCACATTAAGAAGCAGCACCACATGTGAGGGTGCAAGGTCCCTGTTTGCCTGGTGGAATGGTTTGCAGCTCCACAGAGAGGAGGTGGCCTCTCATCAAGTTTTCCTGCTTTCCTCCACAGTCCAAACCTGCAATGTCAGGTGCATGAATGGGGGAAGCTGCAATGAGGAATCCTGCCTCTGCCAGAAAGGATACACTGGAACTTACTGTGGGCAACGTGAGTACCTGTATGTCCCTCCTGAGTTATTTGCCCCTAGGGCCTTTGTGTTAATGGCAGTGCTGCATTCAGGAGGCTAGGTGAATAGCTCTTCCATTGGTAACCCTGCAGGCAGTGACAATGCCTACTACCAGCTGGAACAGCCTTGATTTCTCCAACCAAGTAACAGGTGTGCACTCCTAAAGTCCTGTAAAAGCCTTACCACAGAGTCACAGACAGTTCCCATGGGCATTGTGGACTATCTTGCCACGCAGGCAAGCTTCACTTTGTGATAGATGGTCGCTTACACCAAAAATCACAAGAATATTCAGGTTACTCCCAGTCCCAAAGGAGCAGTCACTTATCCCAAGTTTCAGACCAAAGACAGCTCTTGTAGCCAATCCTATAACACTAATGAAAGATTTATTAACTAAGAAAAATAAGTGAGAGTTATTTACAAGGTTAAAACAGGCAAACACACACACACACACACACACACGAGATTCAGTCTTAGGTTCCAAAATTAATAGCCACTGCTATGCAAGCACTATATGTCCTTTAAGGTAACCCAAGCCAAGCAGCTTGGGGATCCCTTGCTTATGCTTAGAAATATTGCCCTCTCTGAATTCCAAGCAGCACAGTGATAACAATTCTTCCTTGACAGGGATTTTTATGTCCTTGCGACACATTCAAGCTGTGATGGAACAAGGGTTTATGCATGTCCCCTCTTCGTCAGTGTGGGGGAAGCAACCAGTCTTTTGTGCTCTGATGTTCCATTATAGCTTGCCTGGTGTCCTTCTTTTGTTGGGCAGGAGATGACACCTTTTGTGGTAAACTAGCATTTCACAGTTGGTAATACTTCTCTCCTGACTAGGGGGTTTACAGTCTTAGCTAACATTTTGATAGTTACAGAGCAAACATTTAAATGTTACCTTGTAACATGGGGTGCAGATATTATAGGTAAAATTAATACATGCAGCATCCTATAAGCATTTCTTAAAGTCTAAACACTGAACACATTCTTATAACTCTAATATCTGTTTTACCAATACTAACACACAGGTGAGTCAGATTGGTTTCCACCCATCAGCTTTCTTATTGCTATGACACAGTGGCCTGTTATATGCCCTTGGTCTAGTCCTGCCCCCCAGGGGCAGGCAGAGTTAGGTGTGATTTCCCTGCCTCTGGTGGAATCACCCACTCATTGGTGCACTTCGCTCCCTCCTATTCTCTGCCTGCGGCACATAATAGTCTAGTCTGCTGTGGGCTGTAACACCTTGGTCTTATTTCAGTTGTTGGCTTCAGTGTGCAGGGCTGGGTGGGGTTGGTGGTCTCTGATATACAGGAGGCCAAACAGGATGATCTGGTGGTCTCTTCTGGCCTTAAACTCTTCAAGAGAGTTGGCAGTTTTCCAAAGAGACATTATTAAGGGCACAAAAGCAAACTATCCCACTGCGTAGGAAAGATGGAAAGTTTGCCAAGAGACCACTCTGGCTTAACCAATGATCTGAAACTCAAACGAGAGTCCTACAAAAAGTGGAAACCAGGTCAAATTACAAACAAATACATTATAAACAAATAACACAAGTATGTAGGGACAAAATTAGAAGGTCCAAGGCACAAAATGAGGTTAAACTAGCTAGAGACATAAAGAATAACAAGAAAACATTCTACAAATATATTAGAAGCAAGAGGAAGACCAAGGACACGGTAGGCCTGTTGTTCAATGTGGGTGGGGGGGGGGAGACAATAACAAAAAATATGGAAATGTCAGAAGTACTAAATGAGGTTTTTGTTTCAGTTTTCACCAAAAAGGTTAGTGGTGATTGGACGTCTAACGCAGTGAATGGCAGTGAAAATTAGGTAGGATCAGAGGTTAAAATAGGGAAAGAACAAGTTAAAAATTAAAAGTTAGATGTCTTCAAGTCACCAGGGCCTGATGAAATACATGCTAGAATACTCAAGGAGCTGACTGAGGAGATAGCTGAGCCATTAGCGATTATCTTTGAAAAGTCATGGAAGACGGGAGAGATTCCAGAGGACTGGAAAAGGGCAAATATAGCGCCAGTCTATGAAAAGGGAAATAAGGACCACCTGGGAAATTACAGACCAATAAGCTGGAAAGATAATGGAGCAAACAATTAAGCAATCCATTTGCAAACACCTGGAAGATAATAAAGTGAAAAGTGACAGCATGGATTTGTCAAACCAACTATAACCCTTCTGCCAGTCAGAGTTGGCAGCAACAAGGGCCGGGGTCAGTATCTAGGGGTTCCTCTTCAACAATACAACACAAAACCGGCTCGGGACAAAACCTGGGACAGTTACACACCACGCCCTGGGCCCCTCTCGCAAGCACAGTCTGAGTGTAGAAAACCCCCCGCACACACTTTTAATAAAAAGAGGGAAGTAACTCAGCATTAATTTGGGAAAACACCACAAACAGGATTCATAAACATAAACCATGAGCAAAAGACCCACCCCCAAGGAAGTTGGGCAGTGTCTTTTTCCCTCAGGTTCTTCAGTCCAGCAACCAAAAGTCCCTTTAACGTGCCCTTCCTTTTCTGCACCCCATTCACAATTGCTGACCTTTATCAGTGCAGACCCAGAGTTCAGAGGTGCATCTGCAGAGTTCACCTCCCACCCGAAGGCCGCCATTTTTGAAAGCAGTCAAGGGGTGGTTGTTTCACTCTGGTGGGGAGGCAGACAGCTCTGACCATTTGGCTCTGTGCACCTGCTGTCAAGTGGTATCTCAGAAAATTGTTTTTCTTTTATAATCATGTTGTGAACCTCCCAACATCGCCCTGTAGACTCACTGCTGTTCTGAAGGGACACATCCCATTACGCCAGGTTTTGCCCACTGTTTTTCCTTGGGATTCCGGATTTCCACTCAGGTAGTCAGCTGCTCTTTTCATGTTACAGATCACTACATCAACTTGCTGCTAGTGTCACTGAGTTCCAGTCAGGCTTGTCCCGGGTTCTTCAATGCAAGTGTGTGAGAAAGATCCCTCGTCTTCCTACGGCTGTCAAGTGATTAAAACAATTAATCGCGCAATTAATTGCACTGTTAACAAATAACAGAATACCATTTATTTAAATATTTTTGGATGTTTTCTACATTTTCAAATATATTGATTTCAATTACAACACAGAATACAAAGTGTACAGTGCTCACTTTATATTTATTTTTATTGCAAATATTTGTGTTATAAAAAACAAAAGAAATAGTATTTTTCAATTCACCTCATACAAATACTGTAATACAATCTCTTTATCATGAAAGTTGAATTTATAAATGTAGAATTATGTACAAAAAACAACTGCATTCAAAAATAAAACAATGTAAAACTTTAGAGCCTACAAGTCCACTCAGTCCTACTTTTTGTTCAGCCAGTCACTCAGACAAACAGGTTTGTTGACATTTACAGGAGATAATACTGCCTGCTTCTTGTTTACAATGTCACCTGAAAGTGAGAACAGGTGTTCACATGGCACTGTTATAGCTGGCGTCGCAAGGTATTTATGTGCCAGATGCGCTAGATTCACATGTCCTTTCATGCTTCAACCACCATTCCAGAGGACATGCGTCCATGCTGCTGACAGTTCTGCTCGATAGTGATCCAGAGCAGTACAGACCAACGCATGTTCACTTTCATCATCTGAGTGAGATGCCACCAGCAGAAGGTTCATTTTCTTTTTTGGTGGTTCAGGTTCTGTAGTTTCCGCATTGGAGTGTTGCTTTTTTAAGACTTCTGAAAGCATGCTCCACACCTCGTCCCTCTCAGATTTTGGAAGGCACTTCAGATTCTTACGTTTGGGTCGAGTGCTGTAGCTATCTTTAGAAATCTCACATTGGTACCTTCTTTGCGTTTTGTCAAATCTGCCGTGAAAGTGTTCTTAAAATGAACAACGTGTGCTGGGTCATCATCCGAATCTGCTATAACACGAAATATATGGCAGAATGCGGGTAAAACAGAGCAGGAGACATACTATTCTCCCACAAGGAGTTCAGTCACAAATGTAATTAACCCATTTTTTTAACAAGCGTCATCAGCATGGAAGCATGTCCTCTGGAATGGTGGCCAAAGCATGAAGAAGCATATGAATGTTTAGCATAGCTGGCACGTAAATACCTTGCAATGCTGGCTACAAAAGTCCCATGTGAACGCCTGTTCTCACTTTCTGGTGACATTTTAAATAAGAAGTGGTCAGAATTATCTCCCTTAAATGTAAATAGACTTGTTTCTCTTAGCGATTGGCTGAACAAGAAGTAGAACTGAGTGGACTTGTAGGCTCTAAAGTTTTACATTGTTTTGTTTTTGAGTGCAGTTACATAACAAAAAAAATCTACATTTGTAAGTTGCACTTTCACAATAAAGAGATTGCATTACGGTATTGTATGAGGTGAATTTAAAAATACTATTTCTTTTGTTTATCATTTTTACCGTGCAATATAAAGTGAGCAGTGTACACTTTGTATTCTGTATTGTAATTGAAATCAATATATTTGAAAATGTAGAAAAACATCCAAAAATATTTAATACATTTCAATTGATATTCTATTGTTTAACAGTGCGATTAAAACTGCGATTAATCACGATTAATTTTTTTCAATCACAATTAACTTTTTTGAGCTAATTGCGTGAGTTGACCGTGATTAATCAACATCCCTAATGATCACTTGACTTCTGACATGCACCATTTTGCTCAGATTTGGGCATGTCTAGCACAAGTTTTCCCTTTTCACAGTTTTTAATTTTGTACTTCTTCATTATTGGATCACAGAGCTAAGCTGCGTTAACTGAGATTCTAGCACCTAGCAAAATCTCTCTGTTGACTCAGCTGTTGGTTTCCAGTCCACTTATAATTGATTTCTTTATAAACAGGAAGAAATCAGAGTTGCCTTGCTGAAAAAAAATAACATACCTTTCTCTCTAGGATCAGTATGTGGGGAATATCCCTGAACTGCAAATAATATCTAAGATAAAACATGGGATGCTTCAAATTCTGCAGCTGTCGTGCATCTTGCATCATGGGTTTTCCATTCAGAATTTCCTGGTGGACTTTGTCAGAACACTGTCTAGTGTCAGCTCACCCATCTTTCTATTTCTGAATAGCTGTCTGTGAAAATGGCTGCCAGAACGGAGGTCGGTGCATTGGACCAAACCGTTGCGCTTGTGTCTACGGGTTCACCGGCCCTCAGTGTGAGAGGGGTAAGGAGCAGTTTATTATATTACTATCACTGATGTTACTACAAAAAAGAACATAAAGGTTTCAAATTCAAGCCCTCGGAAGTTATATTAGGAAATGCCATGTTAAGTTTGCCCAGGCAGTACTAATTTGGCCCCCATTGTGTGCATGCATTATGATAGAGTCTTTAATTACATGATCACATACTATTTTTTCCATAGGCCTCCTGCCTCATTCAGTGCACAGGATGGACAGTAGGTAGCTGTTCAGTATTTCTAACCTCATCCATCAATGAATAGAGAAATATCCGTTCTTCTTGGAATGTCCTCTGCACATTCCCCTCTTGGGTTGCACCGAGGTAGGATGGTAAAACCTTCTAGTCGCAGCACCTGTTAGAAATGCCTGACCCCTCGCCTGATCCCTCGCCTCCTGTCCCCAGCCTACGTGCGGGTCGGGGGCATTGGCGCTGTTGCCATCTCAGTTCCTTCCGACCACTGCAGCATTAGGTCATGAACCCCGTTCTGTCCATTTGGCTCTGTCGCTAGTGCTGTAGCCTAACAAAAATTAATAAAAATACAAATATAAAATAATAATAATAAAAATAATACATGTAGGTTAGTAATTAGTTGTATTTTAGTAGTTAGTTAGCTAGTATAGCTAGTATAGGTTACAGTTGTTAAAAGATAGATTAGAAATAGATAACAGTAGAACAAACAGTTTACTTACCGACTATGACAGACATCAAAGTGAAAAAACACAGCTTCCAAAAAAGATATGTCGTGTCCAGCTGTCTTTCCTTCCTGTGATGCACATGTACAATGCTTAACATGCTTAAGTGAAAATCACTCGCTGGCACACTGCCAAATATGCCACACATCCACAGACAAAATAGATGGCAGGTCCTTCTGTAAAAGGAAGGGCTAGCTGCTAAGCCTACAGGATCCAAGAGCTCAAAAGCAGGAGACTGGAGTCAGCTCTGTCTACTGCTGGAGCCAAAGAGCCATCCAGATCTGTTAAGAGCTTTGGCTTCAGTACCAGGCTCTGGTTCCAAGTCAGCTGAGGTTCCAGTGGTCCTCTTGGATCCGACCTCAACCATGGTGCAACCTACATCAGTCCCGGATCTGAACAAACGTCATAAGGATCCACAAGATACGCCCAACAGATCTTCCTCAGTTCCAAGGAAAAGAAAGTCTAAGCATGTCTCCAGCAGCTCCTCCAATCACTCGCACGGGGTAGAACCGAAGTTGAAAGACTTGGGACCTCAAGATGCACCCAAAACTATGAGCCTGAGATCAAGACCTGAGGATACATTAACAAAGAACCCACAGCACATAACTGAGGTGACAGCTCAAATGCACCTGGATCCACACTCTCTACGGATCTGACTGAGATGCAATCTCTTCTGAACAAAAGACCAAGACAACAAAATGTCAGGGAAAGTTCAGCTTCACTTCCACCCTGCAGGGGGGTCACCAGGGAAGATCATTTTCCTGCCCTCTCTTTTTAGAGTCCTTACCCCATAGGTTTAATCAATGGCTTCAGTGTCGGAGCCAGGATCGGATCTGAGTTCAGAGCTAGAACCAGATCCACTACAGGTATTGACTGGACATTCTTTTCACTGAAAAAGTGTTCCGACAAGGAGAGAGCCCAAATTCCCTGGATAGCCGTTGTAGACTATGATACTGGAAAAGCTAGCAGGACTGCCCTATGCCTCTGTGAATGCTATGGCCATATTGGCCAATTCCTCATTTTTCTTTGCATGCTGGAAGACTGGTCTCTTCAGGGCCGGAACACCGTGTTCAACAGAAAAGAGATGTCCAGATCTGTCAGCCCCATATCCAAGACCATTGCAGTATTCCTCCACTGCAGAAAAGGAAGTAACCTCTGAAGAGGAATATCAAGAGGGATTTCCGAGGATGTTTCCTTATGACTTAGGAGAGATGCAGAGCAGTTCATCTCCTGATGAGAATGAGGGAGTACCAACAGCTTTGTTTCCCTCTGAGGATGCAATTCAGTTCCAAGAATAGATGGATAGGATGGCATCAACCCTGAATTTACCATAAGTAGCATTAAAGGAGACTTCACATCTGGTATTTGATATCTTAGGTTTGACAATGAAACCTAAAGTCTCCTTGCCCACATTAGAAATGTTATAGCAAATAGCATAGTCCCTTTGGTCCAAGCCATCTTCATGCCAACCAGTTTCCAAAAAGGCTGATAAATTCTATCAAATCCCACAGGAGGGGCTCTCTTGTTTTCTTGTACATCCTCAACCAAACTCCCTGGTCATAGCAGCTTCTCTTCAAAAACCAAAATTTTCTACCCAATGGATAAAGAAGGAAGAAAATTAGATTATTTGGGTAGAAAATCATTTTCTTCTGCATCCTTAAATATGTGTATATACAACTACCAAGTGGTGATGGTTAGATATCAATTTCCATTGCGGGAGAAGATGGCTCTATTCACTGAACATCTACCAAAGGATCAAAGGAAGTTAACATCAGCCATGATTAATGAAAGCCAAAATGTAGCCAAACATGTCCTTAGGGCATTGTTTGATGTTTCTAATATTGCCTGTAGATCATTGACAATGGCAATATCTCTTCATAGACATGCTTGGCTACATTCATCTTCTCTCCCACTGGATACCAGGGCCAAAATAGAAGATTTACCTTTTGAAGGAGATGGCTTATTTATTGTAAAGACTGGTGACACACTGGGTAGACCCAAGGACTCATGCCACCTTTCAGAAGAAGATCTTCTATTCTGGTGTTCAGATATCACAGGCAGTACATACCACCTTTTTCATCTGCCTCTTATCAGAGGAACCATAACATCAGCAGCACCATCAGCAACAAACATATTCACAGACATATAACAGGAAGAAACCCTTCAAACGGCAGATGCGTATACAGAATCCTTCAGCCACATTTACTTTACCACATGTCAGGCCTCATGTTTGACATGTTAGTCAAGAGCCTCAAACCAATTTTAGTAAATCAGTTTGGAGACCGGCTTGGACAACTATCACTTCAGACAGATGAGTTTTGTATATGATAAAAGAAGGTTATACCACCCAATCCAGATCACTCCCTCCATACAACCATAGGTGCTGGAACTAGGAGTGCTGGGGGTGCAGCAGCACCCCTTGGCTTCAAGGGGGTTCCATCACATACAGGGTTTACAGTTTGGTTCAATTGCTTTCAGCCCCCTCCGCCCCCCTAAAAATTGTTCCGCACCTATGGATACAACCTCCCACGCCCTCCCTCTCCAGGAACCTCTCCCAGGAGAGACTATTATGGATAGAGGCACAAGTTCTTCTGAACATGGGAGCTATAGAATGAGTTCCCTTGACTTCCAGAACAAGGGGTTCTACTCCCATTACTTTCTAAGGTCTTGTCTACACTACAGACCTATATTGATATAACTACATTGCTCAGGGGCGTGAAAAATCCACACTCCTGAGCAACGTATTTATACTGACCTAATCCCCATGTAGACAGTGCTGAGTCAGTGGGAGACCGATTCTCACCCACATAGCTGCCACCTCTCGGTGAGTGGACAGGAGAGCTCTCACCCATCTGCTTAAAGCGTCTTCATTAAAGCTCTGCAGTGGTACAGCTGCATCAGGGCAGCTGTAGAGCTTTAAGAAAGACGCTCTAAGCTGCCTGCAGGGGAGAGCAGTGCAGCTGCGCTGATGCAGCATTTTAAATGTAGACGTGCCCTAATCCCCCAAAAGAACAGAGACTTCAGAGCGATTTTAGATCTCTGGGATCAGGAAGTTTCAGTTCAGGATTCCTTCCCTGGGTCTAAGCATTCGCTCCTTGTCTACTCTAGATTGATTTTACTGCTCTTGACCTCAAAGAGGCATATTTCCATATTACCATAAGACCATCTCACCAAAAGTACTTATGCTTTGTCCCTGGTTTACACCACTTTCAATACAGAATCTTCCCTTTCAGTCTCTCCACTGCACCCAGAGTATTTACCAAATGTTGAGCTCCAGTAGCAGTGCAGCTAAGAATGCAAGACATTTCTGTCTTCCCGTATTTGGCCGATTGGTTGCTGACGGGCTAACACAAAGAAGAATAAGAGGCAGCCATTCAGAACACTTGTTGTCTATTCAGAACCCTGGGTCTCATCATAAACAAGAAAAAGTCACTTCTCATTTCATCTCAAGAGTCCCTTCATAGGGGGTGATCTTCAGTTCTGTCAAAGGAAGGGCTTTTCATCAGGAGAGAGGCTTTTGAAAATAACTGATTCAATACATTCACTGACGTTACAGCTGGCTCAAATGACAGGGTTTTTTCTGAAGCTACTAGGACTCATGGTATGGATGACATATGTAACCCCCATGCCGGTCTCAGAATGAGGTGACTTCCAGCACTGGATTCTGAAGAATTTCAGTCCTAGTCCAGAGAGCAGGCTGAAGAAAATTACAATACCGCATGAAACTCTTCATTCTACAACATGGTGGCTACATCCGCAGAGAGTGCTTAATGGAGTATTATCCAACGCACCTCATCTGAAGTTAATAGTAACCGCGGATGCAGCCAAGATAGGCTGAGGTGCACACCTTCACACTCAGGTAGTAAAGGGTCTTTGGAGTCTCTAAGAATTCTGGTTAGACATAAATATATGGGAGCTGCGTGCAATCCATTTGTCTCTCAAAGCATTTCTCTCACAGATATGCAAAACAGCTATCCAGATTGCCATGGACAACATGAATGAAGTTTATTATGTGAACAGACAAGGAGGGACTCATTCAACCCACCTGTGCAATGAAGTGATGGAGCTATGGAATTGGTGCATACATTACAATTTTTACCCCAATTTCTTTACATGTTGCACGAGAACACAAGTTAGCAGATTGCCTCACTATCTATGCATGAATATCTCAAGAGAATTCATCAACTGAGGTTATCTTCAGACATTGGGGATTCCCACCTATAGACCTGTCTGCCACCAGACTCAATGCAAACTGCACTCTTTTCTGCTCATGAGTGAGGACAGACAGTCAATC